AAAGACAAAGCTATTCGGTTTCTTGTGAGTACATACACTACACTGCCGATGTAGGGGGGCGCCAGATTGGTTAGGGCCGGGCCTGTGTCTGAGCTTCATGAAAACTCATTTACACTCCGGCTAATATCATCGCCTTTCACAAATAGATCAGTACTGGGACACGCATTATAATGCAAAAAGTCTTGAGGAACGCCTCATTCGTTATGTGCTTGAAATGCACCTGAAAGTCAATATTTGGTATCATGGTTCTAATACAGCAAGTTTCTCAAACTGCTTTATACAACATGCCTCACAGACCCATTCATACAAGCACTTTTTTCTACAGTTAAGTGCTTTCTGTCTGACATTTACACAAATTCATACTCCCATGAAGGCATTACAGAGCAACTCAGGGTCAGTATCTTGCCCAAGGATATCTGGCATGCAGACTGAACCACCGGCCTTCCTATTAGCACAAGACCTGCTCTACGTCCTGAGCCACAGCCGCCTCTTCAGCACAGCCTGAACTCTCTTAGTCAAACTTTCTTCTAGTTTCTTTAAGCAGTCTTCAGGAATAGTTCTCCAGGCTTCTTGAAGGACATTCAGAGCTCTTTTTGGCTGCCTTTTATTTCATTCTGTCAAAGTGATCGCACATAGCTTCAGTAATGTTGAGTCTGAATTTGGCTTCATCGCTCCCTCCGCTGTTGCCACTGATTTTTGATGGATCAACTGCAGAGCCAGATGCATTGTTCAGGTACTGTGTCAGGTCTTTGCTGCATTTCTGTTGGCCATGACTTTCAGATACTGTTCATCAGCTGTAGATAGATTTTTTTAATACCTGACACTTCCTCTTTTATTCTTCACCTGTCCAGTTTCCTCATATTTATTAAGTACACACTAACTGGTTCTTTCCTGTGTTGTCTGTTATATGTAGACACAACGGTGGTTCATCCTGTGAGTTAGGTGCCTTTTGTATGCCTGAATGATTCACAGTCAGGTTACAGGTAAAAGGATTGAACTAAAAATAAGTTAAAAAAAAACAGCAAATGTTCAAAGAGAAACTCTAAAAGACCTTTAGAAAGCCTGGAGAACTATTGCTTAAGACCACTTAAAAAAAACTTCGTCTGACATCTTGAAAGCAAAATATAAAGAAATGAGGAGTGGCTCAAGACTTTTGCACAGTGCTGCATGATACACAAACACCAGCATGAAACTTTTCTTCATTTTTTTTCAGAACATTGTTTAGAAATGCAACCCGACAGGTACAGAGCGGCTCTGACTCCACTCTTTAAACTCCTTTTTCGCAGCACATGCACCAGAACAGCATCACAGCTGAGCAGACAATAATAAACAATAATATTTATATGTATATATCAGATTGATTGCCATGCCCTGCACCTCTTGCATGCACCGAGGCTTTTTCATGTTAATAATTCACATTTACGGTATATTAACAGATTAATTGGAGCATGAGGTAAGAAAAACTGCACCTGCTTGTTACCTGATAAAAACCCTGTTGTCCTTGCATACTGTCCATGCTTCCTGATAACGGCACGCTTCCCTGTCGTTGATAGTCTCTGCTAAGGCCATTGGGTGGAGGAGGGGTTTGACTGAGCGATATCTCACTGCTGGAAGATGGGAGGCCCTGTTTGTGACTGGCGGAGGACGAACTTCGCCGAGCGAGGGTCTCCTTTCTGTGATGGATGAGCTTTCTGCGACAGAGGAGGGCAGCGATTCAAACACAGCACACAGAGAAACACTGAGCTGCACCATCTCCATAAAGAGCTTCACTCACTGCAGAACATCCCGCTGCTCCAGATTGTATTTGCCTCCATTCTTTAAGGCCACATTGTGGATTCCTTCGATCGCTCTGTCGATGGACTGCAGTACCTCATCCTGCTCTGGAGCCTGAGAGAGAGAGGCGGGGGATAAACTCAATGAAATATTAAGTGGCATACAAAATGATCAAAACCGGGCAAGCCATATGGCTCTGAGGGTGAGACAAACTGGGACGGTTATCTAACATAAACAGCCTTTTAACCAGAGTCACACATGCTCACTGAGGCTGCACATTCAGGCCAATGTCACTAATTACAGTCAGCGCTCCTCTCCTGTGAGACACTTTTTTTTTCTTTTAAATAACATGCTCTGACTAGTTCACTATGAGTCTGGAGACTGCTGAGCTCATCTGGGTGTGACTGAGAGGGAATCAAAGTTATGTGGAAGGAACAGCTACTTTTGAAAACAATGAGAGAGCAGAAAAGGAAAATGATACACAGTCACAGGAGGAGATTAGTTAATCTGAGCAGAAACAATGGCTCTGTGTGGCAGAGGTGGTGGCCTTGAATCTGCTCTATCTCTCATCCTTACTCAGTATTTCCCCTTGTCATCCTCTTATATTGCATCCTTTCCTGACTCTTTTCCTGTCCCATCCTCCTGCAAGCTCCTCTCTGTCGCAGTCAGCAACTGCAGTGCAGGAAGAAAAAAAGCCACCCCATGTCCCTCCATACTGCAACCTTTGCAATAATTTATGGCTTATTATTTCGCAAGCATGCATTCCCCCACCCTGACACCCTCAACATGGCTTGCACTGCAGCACATATAGCGGTACACTGAATCCGTCTGATCGCATCAATTCAGCCGCTTTACTACGCATTCCCTGGATTTCACGTCACCCCAGGGTGCAGCTCGGTCACTGATGCCATTCACTGAAACCAAAGAGGGAAAGTGAGCATTGCAAACATTGTTTTTACCTGGATTTTTTCGATATACGAGGCGGGGATGTAGCCGGTTTCCCCCGAGCTGCAGTGGGACCCCAGCCACCAGTGTTTGTTGCTCCTCTCCAGGATTAAAAAGCTTTCTCCGGCCGCGAAGTGCAGCGAGTTGGGCTCCGAGGATCGGAAGGCGTACAAAGACCGGTACATACTTTAATGACACTTTAAGACAGCGAAACGACCCGATAACGACAGAGAAGGGTTATCTGGAGATAAGCAGTGCCCGAATGCCGAAATCTGCTCTGCTGGGGGTGATTTAAAGCGGCTACGAAGGCATGTCTATTTACAATGCAGCTCGGATCATCTGACCCGACTGTTACCGTAAACACCGTAGGAGGGCGCTGTCACATCCCACCGAACACGCCCCCCAGACATTTTAATCAAAGACAGAGCTGACTTAGTATTTTATTTTATATCAACTTCATTGAAATTTCAGCTAAATACGGATAACACCCGACATATAGGCGACAAAAACGGAAATAAAAATGACATTAATATTTTAATATCTATACTTTTACGTAAGAGTTACCTCCATGCGTATGTAACCAACTGTTAGCCGTTATCCCGTTAATTTCGCCCTCTCCCCTTTTTTTTCCCTTCAGTACGTATTATTATTATTATTATTGTGCATCTGATTAACTTAAATGCGTGATGTAAACAAGATAACGCGATGTTTTTTTTAAAGAATAAACAAAAAAGGAATAAATGAAAGATGTTCGACTTTGCATTACACAGCACCGGAAACGAGTGTCTGGTGTTACACTGTGTTATGCCCCCCAGCCTGCCACCGGTTGGGTCATTTCTCCATTTCTCTGTTAACATGGCCACTGCTGCGGTTTTTGCCAGATTTCTCCTTCAGAAATCAACCCAGGGCTTTCTGTTCTCCTCCAGAGCGGTGCCCGCTTTCTCGAGGTAGGGCGGTGTTTCGTTTTAAGGCTCACGTTTCATTAACTTACATTGTCAAAGTATTTATGAGCATACAACCTGCTATTGTTTTGACTATTATTAGTTGTTCAACACCAAGTAGTCACCAAGTTTCTTTAAGAAGTTTTTTTTTTTATCCCGCAAACCATCTAAATCTAATTTGACTGTGATATATAAGGTAAAAGATCATATCCTTATATTAAAGAAGCTTAGCGGCTTAATATTTGTCATGCCTAAAATGATTTTAAAAAAAAGGTAATAGAAATTATGCAAGCTTATGTCATGAATGAACTGACTGCTTTATAGGACCCTTTGATATGGTATCACAGGGCAGCATATTTTATAGTTACACAGCATGAAGCCTGAACCTGAGCACTATAATGGCGAGGAAATGTGACTTGGTGTCAGATTGTCAGGCTAGTCTGAATATTTCAGAAACTGCTGGTCTACTGGGATTTTTCCACACAGCCGTTTCTAAGGTTTGCAAAGAACAGTCCAGAAAAAAAAATCCTCTGACTAGCAGTTCTCTGGATGAAAATCCCTTCTTTTTGTCAGAGGTTGCAGGAGAATTGTAGGAGAATGGCCAACTTTGTGGTTGACAGAAAGGCAGCAGTAAATCAAATAACCACTCACTGCAGCCGAGGCATGCAGAAAGGCATCTGTAAGTACACAGTATGTCGAACCTGGCATACTTTTGGCCACCTAGTACCAGCTGAGCATCATTTAAACATCACAGTTACCAGATCTCAGTCCATTAGAGCACTTTTGGGATGTGATGATGGTGGTGTTGCACTGTCTTTGTTTTGTTTTTTTGCAATTTTTGCACACTTGCACTTTATGTAATCATGTATTGATTGTCTGTTATATGTACCACCATGGTCTTGGAGGAACGTTGTCTCGCTTCACTGTGTATTGTACCACTACACATGATTGAAATGACAATAAAGCCACTTGACTTGAGTGTAACTATGCAGCTGATGGGGAAATTTAGATCAACCTAAACTGCAGTTCATCCAGGTTTAAATTTGAGATTATTCTTATTTATTTATTGCGTTTGTTCATCATATGGAGGACCAACACTGATGTTTTGTGCAAGAAGGGTACGATCAATTTGTGCAACAGAATGCTGGAGCTCTTCTCTTAGCCTGTTGTCTGCTGGCAGCATTAGTGCCAGATATGCCAGCAGGACCAACAAACAAATTCACAAGGCTGGAACCATCATTGGTCAGAATCTGGAGCTGTCTGAGTCACTGAGCGACAGGAGGTCACTGAAGAAACTGCACGTGGACAACCCACCACACCCGCTCCACTCCACACAACAGAGGCAGCAGACCTCTAATCTACTACTATCTCATACCTACCTGTCATACATGCTGTTTCCCGGGCTTATATTGCCAGTCGCACTGCTAAAAGCCGCTGGTGAGACTCCATCTGACCAGAGAAGCTCAGAATCAAAGAAGTGCTGATCTAGCTCAGTTTTCTGGAATAGCCTGGAAAGAAAGTGTGACAGCAGGCTAACATTTGCTGCAGCTCCTTAGACGAGCAGATATTTTGGCTCCTGGCTTGCAGAACGAGGCCGAAAGCTTTTGGCTCACATCCTTATCAGTGGGTTGGCGTGTAAAGTGGGCCGTTGGGCAGCAGCTCCGTGGTGCAGCCTGTTTTTTGAAATTCAAAGTGCAGAGATTTCTCTGTTTCACACCCACAGTTTTTCAGTACTATAGAAAACAATTGCTACTGTTTATGGTTCTGGTTCTAACTTACTGTGGGGGTCTTGTTGTCTTTCTTTAGCCCATTTTTGTCCCGAGCTCATAGACTGGAACCCTCCGATGACGAGTTGTACCAGCGCACCACAGTCTCTGTCATGCAGAAGGATGTAGACAATGGGGTCCTCGTCCACAGCTACAGTTCTGCAGGATTCAATATCGATGGAAACAGGGTGTATGGGCCTTGTGCCGTGCTGCCTCCTGCTATCCTGCAGTGGAAGGTGAAAGTGCTTTCCAGTCTGTCCTTGCAGTTTGTGAAAGTTTATGAAATTCTCTCTTTTTTTGTAGTTTATTTTAACAACTATATATGTGTGTGTTTTCTCTCTCTGCAGATTGGAAGTTCGAAAGATATCACAGAAGAAAGTGTTTCACTCTTCCACATGCTTGAACCAAAAATAGGTACCAATATACGCACTAAAGCAGACCTTTAAACAGATGACTGATGATTTTGTCAATTCTGCAAATTGAACATTACAATAACCTAACTTGCTTGATGTGAAAGTATGGACCGATTTCACAGATTCAGTTAAAGATGAGAGTTTTTTAAGTGGTACAAAGCAGTTCTGGTAACCTTGATTATCAAAGCTGAGTTCACTGCAAAGTGATGCCATGGTTTCTGACTTGTTCGAGGTCTTTCAGAGACAGAGTTGATTCATGTGAACAAATCTTCTGTCTCTGACTTTCTGAACCAACAACAAATATCTGTGTCTGTTCTGCTTAGTTCTAAAATGTTCTAAACATCCAGTAATTTTTCAGAGTAAAATGATCATCACTGTGAAATGATAGGTAGAACCATGTATCATCTGCATAAGAATATATATTCTGTCTGCTTTAAAGATGGAACCATACAGGAACATTTAAAGGTTAAAGAGGTAAAGAACCAAGGGCAGACCCCTGAGGAACCCCTGATTAATTTTTACTTTTGGAGTTTTTTTGGAGGTGTAATTCAGTACAATTCAATTTTACGACAACAGTTGACTCAGGTCACTTTGTATTGTAAGGTAAGATTCATTATTGTGATGAAAACCAATCGAGGACCGGACCTGTTAAACCATCTGCATCATGAAGGCTTTGAATTAAAATGTTATGACCAACAGTGTCAAAGCAGAACTAGCAGATGTTTTCTTTGTTTGTTTGTTTTTTCTAAGCTAGTTTTTAACCAAAACTAAATACTGAGAAAAGTGAGTTGGTCCACAGTTATTAAAAAAACCAAAGCATTTGCTGGGTTATCTGTCATGGTTCCCGTCTTGAAAGTCTGCTCTGGCTCATTAGTCAGCACCACCAACACTCTGTATGTGGACTTGTGAAAGTGTGAGGAACTGAGCAGTGGCAGTGAGAAAGTGCAGCTCCGTTTGTATAATGGCTCCACCACACTGTTGGCACAGTCGCTTCTCTTTTGGCAAACGTCTGTTCATGTGTCTGCCTGTTTTAACAGTCGGGCAGCGAGCGCGCTCAGTCTGTTTCAGCTCAGTCTGTTTCAGCTCAGTCTGTTTCAGCTCAGTCTGTTTCAGCTCAGTCTGTTTCAGCTCAGTCTGTTTCAGCTCAGTCTTTGTACATGAGAATCATTTGTGTTCCACTGAGTGAGGTACATTAATGTCCTTGCCAGAGTGTCCACTCTCTTCTATGTGTCCACTGAAATGTTATTGTTAATGTTATCTGCCTCATTGTCTGTTCTTCCTGGTTTGTGAAGAGATTCTCGTGCTGGGCACAGGCGCACGACTGGAACGAATCAACCCCTCGGTGCTCGCACTTCTGAAGAGTAAAGGCATCTCTGTGGAGGTGCAGGACACGGTAAAATACAAGTGATCCTGTTCTCTTTCTGACAGCATGGCATGAGCTAACAGACACTGGAATACTTCTTATTGTCTCTTGTTATGTCTTTTTTCATTCATTTATTCTGATTTGCAGCCAAACGCGTGTGCAACCTTCAACTTCCTAATGAGCGAGCGAAGAATTGTAGCCGCAGGCCTGATCCCTCCATCACCCAGCACAGCACTTGAAGTCCTTGGGAACAACAACAACATGTAGAAGGTGATCACTACAAATGGTCAGCAGTTCACTGATGATCTGCCTGTGCACAAAACTCCAGTAGTAACAAGCTCCAACACTTTATTACAACACTTATTTCCTTATAGACAAAGTTAAGTGACTCTTTTACGCTTTTCCTGACATTTATAGTGTCGTACCAGAAGATGTTCATTTAAAACTTCTTTTTAAACTTTGTCTCTGGGTGATGTCAGTGGGAGCTGATACCTTTAATGTGGTCATCTAAGGCGCACACCTCTGGCTGTTCAAACCTGTTTGAAAGGATCAGCCAGTCAGGAGAAGCTAGCTCAAGGGTGAGGAGCTAAAATGCTAAAAGCTTAATTCGTACAGCTGAGGGCTGCACAAAGGCCCAGTGTAACATAACTATCTGACAGTCTATAAATACAGAGCTGTAAACGAGCACAGTAGCAGCCACCTTCACCCAGTGATCTCTGTGAGGTTTGTGTACCAGTGAATGCTGATTTTGGGTTTCCTGTCACACATTTCAGCCAGCACATAAAAATGTCTCACATCACCGTTGTAATTCTGCTTATAGCTGCTTATAGCTCTGTGTGCATGAGTTTAAAAGAAGACTCAAGTCAAGGAATCCAGAATTAGACTGTAATAAAGTGTAAGCATGTTCTTATATATAAACACAAGTTTTGCTTGTATAAAAATATAAATGCTTTACCGCAGCATAAGTCTAATGTATTTTTATTGTTTACAATAAATCAGTAGTAAGATCACCTCAGCATGCAGTGTTTTCATTTTGAATGTGATCTGGGCAGCAGTTAAAGGGGATCGTTTGTTAAAGAAATAATTTTAATGTGGCTACCAGAGGTGCTGGTGGCCAGTGTCCTTCATTTGGATAAGCCTCTTTACTCCGTGCGTCTGTCCGTCCTCTGCATCCAGCACGCTGCCGCTGACAAGCTGTTTGTGCAGCATCTAATTTATTGGCTTTGTCCTTCTCACACATAAGCCCCACAGATAAGAGAGTCCAGTAATCCTTTACACATCAGTGTGATTCATCGCTAATCATCTGTCTCGGTGAAGATGCCCAGCGTCAGGCTGAACACTTTAAACCCTCATCGCTCACAAGCTGCATGTTGCAGCTCATAAACACTCTCACTGATCAACACTTTAAAAAAAATCTATCTAATTAACTTTAACTTTGGTTAAAGTTACCCATCCCTGTTGCTTGTCACGTGTTCCATAATGTTGTGCTGTGGACATTTATGTGCTTTTTGTGCAGAGGTTTTTTTTTCTCCTGTTCTCATGCTGTCCTCCCAGGAGCCCAGCATGAGTAGAGGTCTCTTTTTTTCCCTCTTGTACTTTCCTATTGTAGTGTATATTTCAGTGTTTTTGGGTTTTTTTTGGGGTTTTTTTCTGTAACGCTACCGATCTCTGACCTGTATCCCCATGTGATGTCTGTGTTGTGTGTGTAAGGCCATTTCACTGCAGGGCAACCTGCATGTGGCGAATAAAGCCTTGATTGATTGATTGATTGATTGACATCCAGTTAGGCGACCTCTTTTCCTTATGCAGAAATTATTCAGCCATACATAAGTGAATTTGAAGAGCAAACAAACATTGAATGTGAAGGTAGACACTACATTCAATACTTTCACAACATTTTCTGTTTTTTAGTCAATATAACTTGATAAGTAATATAAAATAAAAAAAAGTTTCACTCTGGTGTAAACAACCGATGTAAAAACTATCCAGCAGAAAAGTCATATTGATGTATTACCTTCTCTCATAACAAAGTAGCAACATCATTATTTAGCAGATTTCCACACGAGAGAGAAATTACAGCAAACAAATTAAGAGGCAAAAGAGACGTCAGGCAGTTACGTAGCACACTCTCTGTTCAGTCTACACCCTACATCACACCCTCTGCTTTACAGCTGTGGCATATAATCATCCATGAATGATGATTATACACCACATACATTTACGGCCTCCCAGCTGCTGACATCAAGCTGTCCTCAGTCGTCATCAGAGTTATGAGACTGGTGCCTGGATCCTGCAAAGCTGAGCTCTGTCCCTGTGAGTCGCTGGTACATGTCTTTGATGTCCTCACACTCAGTCTCAAAGTGGTTTGTTGCATCATACGAGCGGGACACAAATATCTAAAAGGACAGAAGAGATTTAAAAAAAAATTAAGGCCACCATCCTATTTTCAGTCGTGTCATTTCTTTCGTTTTGGGGAAACCCCATCATTACCTGACTCTTTTTTCCATCTTCATTTGGAACTAGCAGATTGCTGACAGACACAAATCTGAATTCAACAAGAAGGAATTGCACTGAATTAAATCACACCACAAAAACACAAACTGTCAGATTTAAGTCTTCAGAGTGTCACTAACTTGTGCACGATGGGTTCGAGGAGCTCGAGTCCTGGCTGCAGTTCTTTCTCTGGGTTGGTGGTTTCTGCAGTTGTGCTGACTGTGGCGATGTACATCCCATCTGATGCCACGTTGTGCGCAAAGGACACTACAGATATATAAATGTCTGCATGGAGGAGGAAGTAGTAAAGGAGCAAATCCAGGAAGATCAGGTCAGAGGGTTCAACTTTGTACATGTTAGATATTGTGGTAGTATAACTTAGTACCTGACTTCCTGTTAAGCTGAGTTTGAGGGATGATGATCTGACAGGAGCTGACATCATGAGTGTGTTTAACTGGATGATTTAGAAAACAGATCGCCCTAACGACACGCCCCACCTTCCTCACTCGATTGGGAACGTAGCTGGGATCACAGATTAACTGTTTGCAGTGGAACAGCTGTTAGAAGGAGAGAAAAAAAGACCACATCAGTGGGAGTACAAATGCCTCCTGGACAGTGACTGCAGGGCTTAATTTTGTCTACTCCACCTTCCCCTCAGATTTCACAGCTTTCACTTTGCCACTATCCATCACAATTTCATCCACTGCCCTGTTCAGCAGGAACGTTCCTCCATACTCTGCATTCAGTCTGAAACACAAAGAGGACTGGATCTTATAAGTGCAAGCATGAATGTATGAACGTTTCCTTTAAACAGCTTTTATTATGCTTTTCTTTATGTGTGCTAGAAAGTGCTATAATGGCACATGCTCACATTAAAAATGAGAAAAGTTTAAAAGAAAGACATCAGCATCTCTGAACATTTGGTTTTATAAAGTTTTTCCCACTCTTGGCTCTGAATGTTGTCATTAAGACTGGATTTCCCTAATGTGATCATTTCAGGTACGCAGCTCTAGCTTTGAGAAGATAAGCCCCACCCACCTGCAGCTCAAACCTTTTGTTTGCAAGGAGCAACCAATCAGAAGAAAGTTTTCTTAAAGGGACGTGGAAGGAAGCCTTTGTTAAAGGATGAACTGAGGGGCTTGGTATATGATAAATAAGATTTATTTTGAATTGTGAATCATGCTGACTGATAAAATGGAAATTTTAAAAAGGGGCCACTTTTAACTTTCAGTGGAAGAACATCCACTAAAGGTCATGCTTGCTGGAGGCTGATGATGATATACTTGCACTGAATCCTAGAGTGCAAATATCTAGGATTTTTGCACTCGAATTAAAATAGTCGAATTAAACTAATTAAACTGTTGATGAACATAAATCAAAGAACTAGTGAGAACCTGACCTGGCAAAACCCTGTGGTATCTCCCCGAGACCATACAGTGGGTAGAGGTACGGACTGGTGTTTCGACAGGACAGCGAATCGGAGTACAGCCTGATCCGACTGATGGTTTCCACACAGGGCCGGTCCAGGTAACTGCGAGGACGGCAGGTGGACAGGTTTAAATCTAATCTGTTTTCAGTGTTGTTTCACTTAAGTTCCTATAACTGACCTCTCACTGTTGTGCAAGGCTATGGCGTGACCTATAAACTCTATGACATCAAGTCCCAGGTCGTAGCGATGGAACAATTCCCTTGTGGTCGTTTTGTGAGGATCCACATCATGGTGGGTACGAGGGTTTCTTATGTCAAAGTTCAGAGCAAAGAGCAGCAGCTTCTTGAACCTCCTCTTGTCGAACATGCCCATCAGATCTGAAAATATGTTTTTTTCAGCGTTATAAAGCTATGGCCGTCTGGAAACTTGTCTTAAAAAGTGGAATGACTTGATTTGGCACCTGAAGCATCTGCGTCTTTTTCACTGGCGGGGACTTTGTGCACTTTTCCTCCTTTGTATACGTAGCTGCCTTCTACGACTTTAAAGTCCAGATACCGAGTAACCTCGGTGTGCAACAAGATTTTTACCATCTGACCTGCACAAACCACAGCACCCAAAAATTAAAGCATGCTCATTTCTATCAAAACAATCAGCAAGACATTGCACAAACACCTGCCAATAAACAGTAAACTTTCACCGGTGGAAAGAAAAAATTTGGAGATGAGGTCAACATTCCACTCTTTCCCTCTGCCCATCGATTTTGGAGGACCAGGAGTCTTAAACTTCTTGTACAGCTGCAAATAAAGGAAACACCTTATTATCAGCAGTGTTCAAATGAAGGTACGTGCATGCATGCTCATGAGTTTTGTATTTGTTTGCCTGCACCTCCTCAAGGGGAGAAATGGATGCACTCTCTCCTCCATAATAAGGATTCTTATCAATGTGGAGAACCTTTTTCCCACTTAAAGTCATTAAACCAGAGAGGATGCATTCCTGAAAGAGATGAGGAAGAAAACAGAGGGGCAAATGTGTCCGAATCAGCAGCTGGTAGTTTAAGGTATACAGATCAGGACTAGACTAAAGAGGTAATTGCCATAAATCCTCCTTAGCAGCCAGCAAGAGCTTAACAAGTCTGCACGTGGATCATTAGTAAAAGCGAGAAAAACATGGCAGAAAGTCCAGTCACTTACAGACTTTAATCACTTATTGAATCAAGAGTGAAAAGAGGAAATGAAAGAAGTCATGATTGCAAGTGCTTAGTAAAAGGACTGTGCCTCTGCTTGAGAACTGTTTTGGTAAGGTCGCAGTTATTGTGAGGCATCTTTTTTTTTAGCACTTTGCAGAAAATATATATCTTGCTCACAGCGGGGTTTCTGGTTTTGGTCAGCTCAGAACATTTCCACCTCAGACCACATGACAAAAGATGGCCTGCTCAGTTCACGGGGTTCAAGCTTTGTACTGACAATAAAGTAGGCATAAAATCCTGTTAACCAACAGAATCATATATAGAGAGAGATTCAAAAGAGATGATTTCATTTTAGATTTTACAGCAAATATAAATTTCGTACCTTCAGTCCAGTTCCAAGCACGATAATATCATATTCTTGCTCCATCCTCACCGAGTACCAGTGCTTTGTTTCCGCAGCCTGTCACAGTCTATGAGTGTGGGTCTGTGTGTAGTAAGACAGAAACAGGTGTGATGATGATAGGTGACACCAATTGCTTGGTGTTCCCCTTTGCAATAATCCTCTTATGATCCATCTATGCAGTGTGTGTGTGTGTGTGTGTGATAGAGAGAGATTGGCTCTATGAGCTTCTCAGTCACTGCAGATTGAGGTATTATTATACATATAATATATCCCACTGTTGTAATGATACTAAGTCACATTTTCAAATTACTGTGTCTGTTTTTCAGTTTTTTGTTTGTTTATTTTGTTAAAAATTATATTATTGAAGGAAAAAGAGTATGCTGCTTTCTTGTAATATGATTACAATCTGTAAAACAACCAAGCAACAAACAAACAGCTATATTAATGATACGCTGTCGTGGTTATAATTTGAAAAGAAACTAAATGCCAGGTGGTGGAGAAAAAGTACAAATGTGCATATTCTTGAGGTACTTCTGTTTATCACCACTAGGTGTCATAATATGAACAACATCCGTCCATAAAGTTTCATGTTCTGTATAAAACTAAAATATAATAAATATTTTTCAATATTTTCCTTTATGATGTATGTGGGTTTCAGTGAGCCTGCTTGTTTTTCTTTCCAGTAACAGTATAGTACATTCTATATATGTTTACAGTATACTATTTCCTCTGAACTGTTAAAACAAATTAAATATCAATAAATATCTAATACATTTCTAGTATTTTTTTTCTTTCTCACGTCTGTATTGACAACAGTCACCATAAAAACTTCATTTCCCATGAAGTCTCGAGAAAAAAGATTTCCGGGTCGGTGCCGGAACTGTTTTTTTTTTTCCTTAAAGCAATCGCTTAATATCACTTGGGCAACCGACGAGTTGGGCGGGAACCACAGTTTATTATCTCACATAGTCCGCCTCTCTGGGCGAGTTTCGGGATACTCCAGCGTAAAAGTGAAAGCTTACTGGCCGTTGGCGTGTCAGTTTGTGGTTGCTAGCATCTTCGTGTTCCTTGAAAATTGGCGGTCGAGAAAGTAGAGAAATGTCTTCAGCACAGACAGTAGGTGGCTCGAATAATGGTCTTTGGTTCTACTTTATAAATGTAAACTCCTTCCGGATTTATGTGTGCAGTTAACACAACTTTGCTGCAGCGTTAGACCCTCAACTGCCGCCTTTTTTCAGTCAGTTTAATCTGACGAATCATCATCTAATGCTTTAATTTGGTACGTACAATGGCAATAGCGGTGAGTCGTCGTTTAGTCTTAATTTTTTCGCCCAGACATGAAAATTAAATTAGGAAGTGTGAAAGGGGCGTGTCACTTTCACGCCTAAGACATGATGAGACATGGGACCACAGGCTGCATGTAGGGACACATACAATTACTGCCAGAAGTTTACATCCACTCATCGTGGGCATGAACGTCATAATTTTGGGCTTTTAATGATTTCTTTGAACTGTTCTTTTTTTTTTTCCCCAGGGTGGTGACTTTAAAAACAAGAACTAGGTGCACAAGCTTGAAAATAATTTAGATTTTCTACGGGCTCAAGTATAAATATACATTCACTGTATTTTGATACTGAAGGATCTTCAGCGTCTGTTAAATTGATAAACCAAGGCCTATTAACTTTACACTGGTTATCAAGATCAACTAAAAATGCTAGTTTCTCAGCATAAAAAAGGACAGCGATCCAATGATTGACCAGAAGAAAGGGGAGCTTGATAATGATCTAAGAAGAACTGCAGATTTACACAAGTTAAGAAGGCCTCTTGAACTCATTTCTAAACAACAAATTTTGCTGCAAGCAGTACTGGTTCAAAGTAGATGGAATAGTAAAGGAGGAGGGCTACCTTTACCTCAAATCAACAGTTAGATGGTTTAAACTTGGACACAGTTGCATGATCTTAAGCAGACACCAAAGACTGTTTGGAATAGATAAAGCAGGCTAACATTAATCTTATTAGCCTCCCCAAAGCCCCAACTTCAACCCTATTGAAAATTTGTGGACTATGCTTAAAACCATGTCCATGCCAGGAAACCGACTGTTTCAAATGAATTCTACCAATTTTGTCAAAACGCATGGTCAGATACCCAGCCAGAATTCTAACACAAACTTATTGAGTAATCAAAAGTGTCTGGTTGAGGTGCAACATACCAAGAGACATTTAACCAAATATTGGTGGGGGTTTATATATATATTTGACCTTGTGTGGATTAGAGAAAATCCCAAATAAATTCCAACTTTGTTCACCCAATCCTTGGTTTTTAAAGTCAGTAAAGATGTATGTTGTACAATGATTACATCCTGAAAGCAGAACAGTTCAAATACATAGCAAAAAGCTCAAAATTACATTCATGTCCATGATGAGTGGATATAAACTTCTCACCAGAACTGCAGTTGGCTTGTCCCGGATTAGTTGTAATAAATCAGAGGAATGTGTGTCTTTGCTTTCTAAGATTCATGTATTTGAACCATCATATGTTTTCAGATAAACACCTGGTGTATTATTATATATATAAACTAAAAAGACAGTTTATTGTTAAGTTACTGGTTATGTCTTGTTACGGTCATGTCATTTTTAAAAGATTGAATATAGAAAATAACTAATGAGAAGCCAAAACTTTGTTCTGTCGCCCAATTGTTGATGTTGTGTTTATTCAGGTTTTTCTTATGTTTGTCCAGTTTCCAGACCAACACAAGCGAGTGTCTGCAAAGTCCAACCCTGGATTTCTGGAGCGTTTAAGTGAAACTACAGGAGGAGCAGTTGTTGGTGTGGGACTGTTTTTCCTCTCGATTTATGTTCTCTTCACCAATGAGGTAGGAAACATTTCCTTCTAAGTAGCTCAGATCATCATGGTCACGATGATTTAACAGTAGACTAAAGACAGCACTTTGTACCTGTAATGGTTTCTTTGTGCAGGGACGGACTCTGCAAACAGCAAAGTCCCTGGATGAAGGTCTCTCCCAGGTTGTATCACTGGGGCCGTATATCAGCTTCGACACACAAAACAACGGCCGTTTAGTTCACCTGTCTGCGAAGCTGCATACTGCAGAGGTGAGCTCGCCTGTATTTTGAACAGTGGTCTGCCCTAGCGTGTATGTGTCGGTGTCCCTGATTTGTATATTTTTTATTATGTTTTAGCTTTTTTTTTTTAAATTTTTTTTTATTGAGTTCAGTTTCTGTTAGTTTACAGAGCAGTTCAAAGGTTCTGTATTAGTTTCAGTCTTTTAATTATTAAGATATGGAGGATATTAGAGCTGGGCGATAGAACGATAACGATATCTATCGCGATATAACTTTTACTCGATAGAGAAATTAAGCTATCGCGATAGACCTCGCCGCTCTTGTCCTCTTAAAA